TCAAGTAGAAATTAATCTTTAAGAACATAATTGCACCCTGAATTTTCCCAGTACTGCTTCCTTTCTAACGATGCAGAGATGTTCATTGTGAATTTTATTTTCCTTTTTCTCCCAATTTAGTAAACAGGGATTTTCCAAGTCTGCATTGCTTTTAACACACAGGATGTGGCTGACCATGTACCCTCTTCCTACAGATGATCTCTCCCTGGTGGGAGCCCGCTGAGCTCTCAGGCTTAGGGTAGAGAGAGGAGCATGAGCACAGCTGACTCTCTCCCACTTCAAGCCCCACCCTGACCCAGTATCATTTGTCCTGTACGGTGAAGGGCATGTATTCAATGGTAAATATTTACTCAACATTTACCTGATGTTGGGTATGATGGTTGGCAGTGGAATGCCAGGCTGAGCAAGACAGCTTCATCCCTGCCTCACGGAGCTGACTCTGAAGAAGAAACATATAAGTGGGAAGTATACAGGGGGCATCCCTTCCTCACCTTCACCATTGAAGGCAGGGAGACCAGAGAGGCCACTGCTGCACTCATAGGTCTGTGAGGGGATGAAGGTTGGTGGGATCATAGGGGAGCAGGGAATCAGAGACAACACAAGAGTTGAGTTGACATAGGCATGACTTGAAAGTTCTTGGTTTAGGTGAAGATGTAGAGAAGTCCGTGAAGTGATATAAACAGAAGAAGATAAAGATAAATAACGTGATCCAGGAGCAGTGGACTACCAGGAACAGTGGGATTAGAATTCAGGAAGAAGGAGACCCTGGCAGGGCAAGTGCATTAGGAATCCCAGAGATGTGCTTTGGCTTGTCATATGAAGGGGCTTGGTCACTGGTTGAGCGTAATCTACTGAGGCTGCTGGAAAGGAAGACAGGGAGAGGCCGTAAGTCAGCTGGGTGAGAAATGGAGAGTGGGTGAGAAAGTTGACAGAGGGAGAACAGGCTCCCCTTTAGGAAAGATCAGATGGGAAGTGTAAGATGGAGGAATCCAAATCTAGATGTCCTTTTCTGTATGTTTCATATAAATGGAATAATGTTAATTTGTAGATTTTTGTCACAGGAGAAGAAAAATCCAAAGCTTATGGATTTATTACCCTTTAAAACATTAACCAGTTTATCTCCAACACAGAAATTTTGTTCTTTGGCCCTACCTTGCTGGGATAAAATTACTATATTTAAAAAATATTATTTAAATTTTTTTTACCATCTTCCTAGTCTCCTCAGTGAAATATGAGTTGAATAAAATTTTTGACGCACTTTCATACTCTATGTGTATGAGAGTCCTATATTTAACTTTTTGAAAATTATTTTCTAACGCTTTGGGAAGTTATTTATTGAAATGTCCAAGGCGATTCTTCTCCCTAATCTATTTACACTGTGGTAACTGTGGAATGAAAATTTTAAGCTCAGGAATTACTTTTCTTGAGTTGTGAAGTGATTCCCAGGAGCTACTAAGACTTTTTTCTGACCTTATATTTTTCTATAAATCCACCCCACACACACATTTTTGTTACACTGGGCTGAAGATGATTGTTGGAAGTTATTAGCAGGTTGGTAGAAAGGGGATAAGAACATAAGAGAATAGAATCTGGGAAAAGAAATGACCCTTGGCCTGAGGACATGAGATGACATTATTGGACAGAGACAGAACATTCCAGAAGGACACTGACTAGGAAAGTCCAAGGTGGGGGAAAACCAAGGGACTTGGATTAGGGCTCTTACAAGTTGGCTCTGTGTCCTGGAGGCGCAGAGTCACAGTAAAGTCAGAGTCAGGCTGATTCTGATCTCACTCTCTGTGACCAGGACAGTGTGAAGAGGAGACTCAGCAATGACACAAAGTTGACCTAGGGAGCAGTTGCTATGGTTTGGGAGCAGCAGGAGCCCCCATGTGGAGTGTGTGGACAGAGGTAGATGTACTTGTGCTGGCCCCTGAGTCTGGTCCTCACCTAAGAGAGTGACAGGTAGAAAGGTGCCCAGGTAAGTAGTGGTAGTGGTCACCATTGAGGTTTCCTGAACCATCTTTTCCTTCTTACTACCTCTAGGAAGAGGAGTCAATCAATGAGAAGTACTTTTTTTCTGCTTTCAACTTCTCTTGAGACTACCCGAATATCAAATCAATACCTCGTGGATGAGTGTTAGTGTTTCTTGGCCTGGAATTGATCTCTTGCTGGAATATCAGAATGGTGAGGGAGCCGAACTGCAGCTTTACAAGATGGGAACAGCCTGGCCCATATACCCTGCCCAGATCCCAGTGTCTACAGTACATGTCCCAACCTGAACTAATGATGAGGGTAGAGGGAAAAGTGATGTAAGAGTGGGGACCTATTTGGTGAAACTTGCATCGTTTTCTTTTCCAATGGACCCATAATCTCCCAGCCATGTGGTTAGCCTATGAAGGACTCCGATTTCAGCTGGACAGGCCCTGTGCTGGCCAAAGCAATCAGACTATCCCCTCCCTGCTCACCATGATAGAGTCAGGGGAGATGGTGTGAATGATCTGGTCCAGTCCTTGTGAAAGGTGGAGCTCCTGATCAATGGACCAGGGAGGGCAAGTCTCCCTCATTCTGAAGGTTTGTTGTATGGATGTGATACCTGAGATGGCAGGGGCAATTTTGGTTTACATGGGAAATCACCCTGGAGACTCAGGGGACCCTGGAGGAGTGAGAAAGAATCACAGAGAATCAGGCAACACGCATCAGCCCTGCTTGTAGTTGTTTCTTCTGAAATGTGGCCATTCAGCTGCCTGATATCACAGCCCAAACTTTGTAGCCCACTCTCACTTACTGGTTCTAAAGCAGGAACAAGTGCCCCTGTATTCCTCCTTCCTCTCAGAGAATTTTCCAGATCAAAGCTATTAAGCACCCAGGCTGTGAGTCCCTGCAGGATGAGGTTCTCTCCTGCACGAAGGAGGATCCCTCTGCCTGGCTCAATGCAGCTTTCTATTTACTTTTGCTCATATGTGTTTAACAAACGAAGGGACCAACTGAACTTGTGGAAAGTTGTATTTTCTGAATGAACTTAATAACCTAGTGATGCCATGAAATACATATATTACAAAAATAATTTCAATATTTTCTTTTTATTGTAATGTAAAGCATTGCATAAGTCCTTCCTTCCTCCTCATCACTGCAGTGTGGGGCTGTCTTTCTTTAGGTGCATTCTGTCACATTTTGATTTCTAGTAGAGTTTTCTTTATTTCTCCTGCTAGACTCTGTTTGTCCTGGGACATAATGACTCCACTTCACACCTGCTTCCCAGCGCAGATTTCCCCGTCCCCACAGGAGAAGACCCATCTGCCTCGACCCTGCCCTGCTGAGACCTGAGGTCCAATCTGGAGACAATCTCTGCCTCCTTGGCCTGTCCAGTCCTGTTCGCTCATTTTTTCCATCAAAAAATGAGAGATATGTACAAGTAGGTGTTATCTATTCATGTTGCATAAATAGAAATTCTGGAAACACTTAACACAAACCAATTATAGAATCCCACCCTCTTAGGTTCAAATTAAGTAATCTGGTGGAAATTGTGGTTTTTGTGCTTTTCCAAAGTGTAGCGTTTCTAACATGGGACAGTATTGAGAATGAGGGGACTGAGTTCATCCTCCATGTTCTGTTCCTCTAACAACATGGTGAAATTTAACAGATGCAGATAAAAGTTTTCATCAAATGTGCGATAAGAGTAACCTGGAGACACAAATTCCTAGAACTCCTGATTAACAGTTCCATTTGTCAGGAGCTGATCATATCTCCTGAAAATGTTTAGTTTAAATAATCCTGTCTCAACTAGATGGGGTCCTCGTATTGTCTCACTTGATTGACTCACACACACTCCAGATTGTCCCCAAGAGCACAGCGTCGGTTTCTCTCTTTTCCAATCCCATTCTTCAGTCCCCATATTCTAAGATATGAGGAATCTGATCTTTCTTCTCCATCTCACCTGCTCCACCCCTTGTCCAGGACTCCTAGTCTAACATGAGTATCATCCACAACCCCTACCTGGTCCCTGCCCTTTCTCTGACTTCCTCCTATTTCATCGTCCATGCAGCACCTGGACTTCATAAAATTAAATCAGATTCTGATCATTCCCTGTCAGCCCCTCTAATGCTCCTATCTCCACCCCACCAACCTCACCTCTCCACACTCTCCCAGGACATCTTTCTCTTACAATATGTTTTGCTTGTTTGTCCTCTTTCTTCCCCCAGACAGTGTCAGCTGTCTGATCATGAGGCCTCTTCTTGTCTTGTCCACGCTGTATCCAAAGCCCCTAGACCCAAGTCTGACACATAGTAGGTGTTCAGTAAATGGTGTGGATGCACATCATCTGGACAGTCCTCTATCCTGAGTCAGACACAGCTGGACACTGTGTCCCTGGTCTGTGCTGACCCCTTGATATGCACCAAACTGTGTCCCTCAAAATCCTATGTTGAAACCCTAAACTCTGATGTGACTCTCTTTGGGGATAAGACATTGAAGGAGGTAATTAAGTAAATGAAGTCACAGGGCAGTGTTCTAATCAAGTAGGGCTGGTGTCTTTATAAAAGGAAGAGAAACCAGGGCTGAGCACACAGAAAAAAGGCCATTTGAGGACACAGTGAGGATGCAGCCATCTGCAGCCAAGGAGAGGGACATCAGGAGAAACCAAACCTGCCATCAACTTGACCTTGGCCTTCCAGCCTGCAGAACTGTGAGGAAATACATTTCTGTTGGTTAAGCCATCCAGTCTGTGGTATTACGTTACAACAGTCTTAACAGACTAACACACCCCTCATGGACCCTGTCCCAGCACAGCCTACCCCAGCATTCAGAAATTTCTGCTCAATTTGAGAACATCTGACAATGTGTTGAAACCAAGGACTTGCAGTGGGGAAAGAATTTGAGAGGACGAGGACACGTTCTCTAGCAAAAGTTTGCTGGATTGAGTCTCTCACCCATTTTTGGCCAAATAAACAAAGGAAGCAGCTGGCTTGGTCAACAAGAGGGGCCTGCACAGGGAAGCCACATCGCTGCGGAAACAGCAGGGTTTTGTCTCACTTCCCCACAGGCCTGGAGCACTGGTGAGCACTCAGGCTGTTGTCCAATGCTGAGCAGTAATAGTCAGCCTCATCATCAGCCTGGTGCCCAGTGATGGTCAGGGAGCCTGAGTTGCCAGACTTTGAGCCAGAGAATCAATCAGGGACTCCAGAGGCACGTTGGCTATTACAATAGATGAAGAGTTTGGAGGCTGTTCCTGGGAACTGTTGGTACCAGGACACATAATTGCCACCCCCAATGTTGGAGCTGCTTCCAGTGCAGGAGACGGTGACCTTCTGGCCCAGGGCACCAGACACTGAGGGCAGCTGAGTCAGCACAGACTGGGCCCAGGATCCTGGAAGTGGGAGAAACACAGAGATGGTGATTCTGGGGTCTAGAGACAATAGGAGGAAGTACCCATCTTCCCAGGGTCCTCTCCCCTTTCCTCATATCTATTCACCTGTGCAGTGAGCAATAAGGGTGAAGAGGAGAGGAACCCAGGCCATGGTGGAGATCGTCACCAATCCTGCCTTCTGTGGCCCCACAGCTGAAGCAGAGCTTCCCCCAAATGTCTCCCATCCCCTCTTAACACTCTAAGAGAGGGAGGGTCCATTCATGCAAAATGAGATCCCCAGCAGCTTTCTGATCCCTCTCTGGGCCCTAAGTTAGTCCCCTCTGACTGAAGATGTCCAGGGTGGTGTGAAGGGAGGGGCTGTTTGGGACCCAAGCGGTAGGGGAGGTCACAGCTGTGATCCCTCGGTTGATGGCACCAGGCCACGCCAGCTGGTTGGTACCAGCCCTGATCACTCCCAGACCCCTCAGCAACCAGCTCAGATCACCCCCTGTTGCCCAGGCCCAGATACACCATTGTGTGACATGGCGACCAGAGCCTATCAGAGACAGTTCTTACCCCCACATTGCTTTGTTCACTGTCTCCCTGCCTTAGGGCCAGGACAGCTGACCCATTATGTGGCTTCCCCATTGCAGTCTTTATGCTCTACTCAGACTCCTCAGGAGCGAGCATGTCCATGGCTGTTCAGTTGTCAGGACTTAGATGATGACTCTTATACGAATTCCTTATCGATTAGCATCAAATCCAGAGCAGTGACCAGCCCACATGGAGACAGGTCTCCTGTGCAGGATACAGTGTTCTTTCCTCATATGTGAATCCTCCCTGGTGGCCAGAACTCTCCTTCCATGTGGCTCCCCCACAGCACTGAGGAGGAAGGGAGCTCTTCTCTCTAGGCATGAGGAGGTCATGGGGAGGAAGTTCTCATGTGCATTCCTAGAGCGTTATGTTGTGTAAATCTTTATCTTTCGTCAACATTTCCATATAATTGAAACAGTGATCATCTGTAGACTTTGAGCAACCACTCCTGGTATTCTACTCTGCAGGTAAGAACATCATCAAATTATGTTCTTTGTAGCATTTTACTTAAGAGCAAAAATGGGACACATGCTGAACGTTTGAGGATAAAATGGTTAAAACTTTAACATGCTTTGACTCGTGCCTGGTCCCAGGGAGCTGTTTAAAAATGAAAGAAAAATTAATAAACTTTTGGTGAAAGGGCACCCAATATACATCATTTATTTTTCAAAACATATGCTTCATATAGCAAAACCAAAAAATATGCATATGATTGGAAAATTATGAAAATATACAGATTCTTGCCGCAATTTAATTTGGAGAGTCATATGTGGGTTGCAAAGAACAGCATGATTGCCAGTTTGACATCTCTGTTGATGAGTGTGTCACAATGTCATGTTCCTATGAGATGACAAATGCACCAAATTTTTAAAAAATGGATTAGTGATATTTAATGTATTCATTTAAATAAAATCAGCCAATATGTTTATCTGAAAGAAAACTTATGTTATATTTTAATTTTGCATTGCCTGGAAGCGATTATTTAAAATATTCTTTTTCTTTGTAAACCATGTTAATTTTTTAAATAGCTGGTTTTGAAGATTTAGTATATTTAAAACATTCAGCAGGCATTATATGAAAATTTGTTCATTATCATGAAGAATATATGTTTTATTTTTTAGTTATTTATTTATTTTTTTGAGGAAGATTGGCCCTAACCTAACATCTGTTGCCAATCTTCCTCCTTTTTTCCTTTTTTTTCTCCCCAAAGCCCCAGTAGATTGTTGGATGTCATAGCTGTACATCCTTCTAGTTGATCTATGTGGGTCACCACCTCAGCATGGCTTGATGAGCAGTGCATAGGTCCACGCCCAGGATCCCAACCAGTGAACCCAGGGCCCTGGAAGCAGATTGCACAAATTTAACCACTACGCTACCCGGCCAGCCACAGAATATATGTTTTATTAATGTCATAACATATGTCTTCTCAGTATTGATCCTCTTAGCTGATGCAGAAATGTTCATTGAGTGTTGTTTTCCTTTTTCCTCCCACTTGATGGAACAGGGATTTATCCAAGTAGAGCAGTCTCTCACATGCAGAATGAGGTTGGCTGTGGTTCCCTCTGCCCAGGTGTGGTCTCCCAAGTGGTGCTTCTCAGCTCTCAGGCTGAGGGCAGAGAGGCGAGCAGGTCCACAGCTGACACTCCCCTAGTTCAGGCCCCATCCTGAACACAGCACAATATGGCCAGTGCAGGGAGAGGCGTGTCTGCATTTGCAAATATTTATTGCACGACTGCATTTTGTTGGGAGTGGTAATGGGAAGTGGATGTGCCATGCTGAACTAGACATTCTCATTCCTGCCTCTGGGCACTGACCATGATAGAAAACATAAGGGGTCATACGTGGGCCCTCCCTTCTTTACCTTCTCCATTGGAGCCAGAGAGACCAGAGAGGACACTGCTTCACTCAAGGGTCTGAGAGGGGCTGAAGTTTGGTGGGGTCATAATGGAGGAAGGAACAAGAGAAAACTTGATAGCTGAGGAAACATGGGCATGACATGGATATTCCTTGGGTTCAAGTGAAGGAGAAGTCTATAGGGAAGATAAAGATGGAGTGAAACAGAGATGAACAACAATATCCAGGAGAAGGGCTATCAGGAATCAAGGGATTAGGATTTAGGAAAAGAAATATCTTGAAAGATGCAGTTCCTTAGAAATCAAGAAAGATATCCTTTGGTTTGTCAGGTGAAGGGGCTTTCTTACTGGTTAATCTTGATCTACAGAAATCACTGTAGGGAAGGGAAGACGGGTAGAAGCTGTATGTCAGAGGTGAGGTGTGAAGAGTGGGTGAAAAAGTTGATGGAGGGAGAACAGATTCCAGCTTAGGAAAGAGTGGAAGGGAAGAGTAGATGGAGAACAAATTCCCACTGTCCTTCTCTAAACATTTCATAAAAATGGACTCATACGAATTTGTAGATTTCTATCAAAGGAGAATATAAATACAAAGTGTATGGTTTTACTACCCTGAAGAAATTAATCAGTATTCCTACAACACTCACAAAAAAATTGCTTCAAATGCCCTTCCTTGTGGACACTAAATACTGGGTTTTTTAGTATGTTTTTTGACCCAAAGTAACTAGTTTAACAGTCTCTTCATTAACATATAAGTTGAATAAAATATTTTACACTTGTTAATTCTATATTCTTATGAGATTCAAGAGTTTATCTGTTTTTTGTTTTATTTTGTTTTTTTGTTTTTGCTAGGAAGATCAGCCCTGAGCTAACATCCATGCCAATCCTTCTCTTTTTGCTGAGGAAGACCGGCCCTGAGCTAAAATCTATTGCCAATCCTCCTTTTTTTTTCCCCTTTTTTCTCCCCAAAGCCCCAGTAGATAGTTGTATGTCATAGTTGCACATCCTTCTAGTTGCTGTATGTGGGATGCCGCCTCAGCATGGCTGGACAAGCGATGCGTCGGTGCGCGCCTGGGATCCGAACCCAGGCCACCAGTAGTGGAGCGCACGTGCTTAACCACTAAGCCACGGGGCCAACCCCAGGAGTTTACCTGTTTGAGTCAGATTCATTCTGAACCAAGCTCCCGGGACACAGAAGAGGAAGGTGACAGGGATAGCAACAACTATGACCAGGACCCCATGAGGTGGAAAATCTCAGCAATGAGCCTGAGTGACCTGGGGGAGCAGTTGTTTAGGGATGGGAGCAAAAGGGGCCCAGTATGGAGTGTGTGTCCAGAGATTTATGAGCTGGGCCTCTGGGACTGGCCCTTACCTGAAGGGTGAGGCAAGTGGAGGAGAGGAGCCCAGGTGATGATGGGCAGTGGCCACTAGTGTGGTTTCTTGAAATGTAATCACCCTTCTCACTCCCTCTGGGAAGAGGGTGTCCTCAGGAATTTTTACTGCTTTCTACCTCTCTTGAGACTACTGAATTCCAGATTGTAGCCTCACTGATGAAAGGAGTGTGATTTTACTTAAGATTGATCTTTTGCAGATCTTCAGAAATATCAGAGAGCCAGAAGTGATGCTTAATGAGGTACGGACCACCTGGTCCATGTCCCCTGCCCAGCTCCCAGCATCAACAGTACAAGACTCAATATGAGCTAGCGATGAGGGTGAAAGGCAGATCGTCCTCTCTGGACCCCAAATCTCACGGCCACGTGATTTGAATGTGACTGATCCCAGCTCCAGCTCCAGCAAGAGACCTTTTGTTTTCCAAACCAATCAGAAAATCTCCTCCCTGGTTACCATGATGGTGTCAGGGCAAATGGTGTGAGTGATCTGGCCCAGTCCTCATGAAGGCTGGCATTCCTGAACAACAGGTCAGGGGAGACAAGTATCTCTCATTCTAAAAGGTTTGTTGTGTGAATGTGATGTGTGGGACTGCAGGAGCATTTTTGATCCATGTGAAAAACCATTCTGGGGACATGGGGGATCATAGATAATGTCCATTTCAAATAAATCTCAGAGAAGAAGGAGCGAAGACTATGGAAATTCTTTTCTTGACAACTAGAGAGGAAACTTCTCTGTGTCACGACTGAACAAGGCAGGGAGACTGTTTTCGATATTTCCATCACAAAGATGAGCTCAGGACCTCAACCCCACACCGCTGTCCATGAGGTACAGCTCACTCACATCCCATGCAGTTCCCGAGAACCAGCCTCCAAACCTCTTTCCCACATCCCATTCTTTACCTCTTACCTCAAAAAAACATGCAGAATCTTACTATCCTTCTCCACCTTATCTGCTCCACCCCTCAGTTACGATGATAGTCTGTTCTTTGTACCAAATCTACAACACTCAACAGGTCCCTTTCACTCTCACCTTCTCCTTCATCTTCGGTGCAGCAGCTGGACTTCATAAACTTAATCAGATTTTGTATCTTCCTTGTCAAATCCTCTAATGGCTCCTATCCCCCATCCAAGTATAGCATGTATTGGGAGTTCTGTAAATGGTGTGATGGATGTACCCCTGAATAGTTGGCTATCCTGAGTCAAGTACAGGTGGACTCTGTTTGTTCTTGGTTTTGCACTAAGCTGTCATCGACTCTGTCCCATGGCAGCCTGCCCCTCACTTTGAGGAATGTCTGATGAATGTGAGACAATCAGCTAATGTGTTGCTATCAAGAACAGACTTTGGGAGCATAAATTGAGAAGATGGGGCTAC